ACTGGAGGTTACTGACCAGGCTGTGTCTCTTTCATGCAGCTGCACCACCTGTATTTGGGTATTTCTGTACCTGTTTCCACTGGAGGTTACTGACCAGGCTGTGTCTCTTTCATGCAGCTGCACCACCTGTATTTGGGTATTTCTGTACCTGTTTCCATTGGAGGTTACTGACCAGGCTGTCTCTCTTCCAGGCAGCTGAAACACCACCTGTATTTGGTATTTCTGTACCTGTTTCCACTGGAGGTTACTGACCAGGTTGTGTCTCTTCCAGGCAGCTGAAACACCACTGGTATTTGGGTATTTCTGTACCTGTATTTCTGTACCTGTTTCCACTGGAGGTTACTGACCAGGCTGTGTCTCTCTCAGGCAGCTGAAACACCTGTATTTGGGTATTTCTGTACCTGTTTTCACTGGAGGTTACTGACCAGGCTGTGTCTCTCTCAGGCAGCTGAAACACCTGTATTTGGGTATTTCTGTACCTGTTTTCACTGGAGGTTACTGACCAGGCTGTGTCTCTTCCAGGCAGCTGCAGCACCTGGTGGAGGTGTCGGTGCGTGAGTGCACGGTGAGCCAGGCCGGGCAGGAGCAGGACATCGGCAGGACGTGTGCCAGTATCCTTTTCTGCTACAGCGCATGGGGTCACAAATACACTGCGTGTCTTAGCATTCCAAGTGTTCACCTCAATAAGCAACACGTCTGTCCTTTTATTAAATAAACGTTGGAAACTGCAGTTTGCATTTAGAAGCTTAACGCAATGTTTAGAGTTAAAAAGCGGGTGCCCGCGGTTTTTGAGAAGGATTGCAAATTGTGGATAAAAACAGAAATATTGTCATAGGTTGCTGCTGTGACTGCAATTCCAGGAGGCTTCAGCAATGTGGGGTTTTGTAAAATTTAACTCCAGGATAGATAACCCCATAAAAAAACATCTGGTATGTTCTGTAGGCACCAGAGGTTTCCAATATGTGATAAATAAATAATGCGTTCAATATACTGCGATGTTACAGAAACACAAAGCAGGCATTATTTGTTCATTTATAAGGGCTGGTAAGAGCTCCTGTCAATACAGAAATTAATCCATTTTAGGATTTGCGCAGTTAAGCTCTTCTGTAAAACTATAAGCCATTTCCATACCACAAATCTCAACTTTGCTGTAGCTGAGCAGTAGTTTCTCTTTCTGTTATCTCATCTATTTCCGTTTGTTTGATTAAAAACCAAACCCGCGTTCTAATTTCTGAGAAGGGAATTTCAGATGTGATCTTAATGTGAAATTTCAGATATCAGGCATATAGATCTATCAAAAAATCTGATCTCATCCTGGGACACAGTGACAGCTATTGCCTCTCAAGTTCGAAACCTGGAAGCACTTAATGTCAGGTATGAACATTCACATTTGTGTCTCCGTTCCTTTGGCGTAGGGACAAAAAAGAAGAGGCTCTTTTAGCCACGGGGTCAGCTTTCTAAGGGATGCCTCAATGCTCATTTTAATGGGAGATAAGCAGGTTTTCAAGTACTTTGTTTTTAAATCCTATCCTTTCACAACTCGTGTGTGTGCTGTGTTTTTCAGCCATCCCTTTTCAAGGAAAGGCTGGGACCCTAGGAGTTTAGCATCTGTGTAAAATAAATTCACAAGTGCTTGGGACAGATGGGTGTTTACTGCAGTTTTGTGCAGTCAGAAGATTCACAGTTTTCTGAAAAGCAGAGCACAGATTTCAGCCATTAAACATTACACAAACCGTGTTCTGTGTAACAGATTTCATAATTTGACCTGGGAGACTGGATTAAAACGCATTCCAGGTTTTTACAGAGCGCTGCAGGCTCTCTTAGGCAGTTCAGACTGAAGGAAAGAAAAACCACTGAGAGCTCTTGTTTGTAGAGCCTTGGAGGTCTGAGGTGAACGGTTTCATTGCCTTCGTTGTACAGCAAACACAGCGTAACCAAAAACCACTGAAAGGGTCGTAAGCTAAACTGAAACCAGTACCAAGTTAATTTAATGACGAGGTGACCCCCATGTCTGTATTTGTTCTTACAGTTAAAGTGACAAAAAGGTATTTTTAAATAGCTGTACGTGTTCCATTTTCCCCAGTGTTTAGCACTGAGCGGCTGTTTGCAAATCTAGCTGCGCCTGGAGCACACGCTGTCGTGATTTATCGTTATCAGCGTGCATGGGAATACAGAGAATGTATTTTAATTTGCCTAGAGTAATCTCTTCAGTCTGGTTGCTGAGAGGTGTAGTGCAGGCTGAAGGGTTTCCCAAGTTACTCGTGGTAAAACTGGAAAGCACAATGGGAGCGATGCTGGGATCTGGTGCTTACAACTGCAAACTGGAGTAGCCTGGATTTGGGGTTGTATTGTTCTGACCTCCTGTTGGCTTTAAACAAGAAGTCTTGGCAGGAAAGGCTGGCACTGGTGGTTTTATGAGGGGACGTTGGAAGGAGAAGAAAAGCAATCACCCATCCGCCGCCTGCCCAAGAGCTTCATCACATGGGGAATTTAGGTATAACGGAGATTAATATCACAACACACAGGTGGATCAGACCTCAGGAAGGAAAGGAAAACTTGTGTGGGGGTCAGTGCTGAAAACTGACTTGAAGAGTCCAGATCTGAGAATCTTTAACTTTTTTATAGTGGTCTTTTGCTACTGAGAGCGGATTTTACGTCTGGGGTCTGGACAGTCACGTAGGCTACTGATGTTGAATTGACACCAAGGAGTTTAAACCCCAAATCTGACCTTGCTTCATTTAATACTAATGAAAATAGTTTTCATATTCAAAACTTAGGGGAGGAAAAAGGGGGAAGGAGGACCCAGATGAACAAATATGCATTTGTGAAGTAGGAAGGTAAATTAGGAAGGAGTACGTTTGAATAGAACTAGAGGGATATTTAATAATATTTTAAAGTACGTGACACCTTGCCAGTGATTCTTTTAAATTCATGTAAATTGGTTTTGTCTTTAATGTGTAAATCCAAACTATCGACGTGAATTCATGCAATGATTCATTATGTTCACGACGATTCTTTTTACACAGCGAGAACAAAATGAAATTTCCATCTACGCCAACTACTGTGTCCAGTGCATTTTCAAAACTGAGGGTCCTCGCGCTGAATCAAACCGAGATAACGTGGACGGAGGTAATGACCTCTCCTGGCTTGGTTTTTATTTATAATGTCAGGGTTCTGGGGCAAGGGGAGCACAATAAGCACAGCTCAGATAGAGCATGGAATAACCAACGCTGGCTTGTTTCAGGGGCTGAAACGTGCAGACATTTACACGATGTCTTGTGAAGAGCGAAGACTTCTTGTTAAATATGTTAGCAGGGTCTTTTTTCGGAGATGGGGCTGAGGGAGCTGTCCCGTGGGGGTTTAAGGGTGGCAGACTACACTGCACGTACAGAGCAAAATGTTATTGTAAGTGATAATGATGTGTCCCTTCCAACCCAACACATTCTACGATTCTATGGCACATATCACAGTGTACACTATACAGTGTAATGCTATAGCAACTACTTACTAATTTGCATTTACCAGATCTAGAACAACAACTGAAGTCATATTTTAAAGCTAACTGAAAGATTAAATAGGGACTGATGTTACTTACCCTGTCTGATGACCGTGGGTAGCTCCCTTTCTCTCGGCCTCCAAGGGGGGATGATCAAACTCCACCATGGGGGCAGTGTGTCAGGATTCCCTCGATCACAGATGGGACGGGGCTGTTATAAATGAGGTGACTGTCAGCCACAGCCTCCTCCTCAGCGAGCCTTCTAGCTTGGAAAAGTACTTTGTATCTCGTAAAAACACTGCTTTTATCAGTCTTCTCTTTCTCCCTGGACCCAGCTGGTCTGGGGTGTTCCTGTCACCAGAGAGCACCCAGAGCTGGGCACGTGTTGGGTCTTTCTCCCCGCTGTGCCAGGAGAATCCTCCACAGCAGCACATCCCAGCAGTGCCCTGTTACTTGCAACGGGTTGTAAACTCCAGCCCACTATTTGGATTTCTCAGTGGCAGATTTTTGTACGTACCGCATTGTGAAATTACCTGGATTTTTCAAACCACACAGAATGACAGACTATTAGGAGTTGGAAGGGACCAAATCTTCGCTGCCAGCTACTGTCTGGTAATAGAGCACTTACCAAAACTGGCGTTTGAGTTTAGAAATAAGGTTCCTCCTTCTCTCCTCGTGCAGCAGGGCTGGAGGAGGGCAGTTGCTGTGTTTTTGTGTGGTGCCCATAAACCATCAATGGGGCTGTCCAAGGGCAGTGGCCAACCCTTCCATGATAAATCCACACACAGGAAAGAGCCAGCGGGGGGAAAGGGAGGGCCAGGCAGTCCATAATGCTTGTTTCTCTGGTTCTGGGAGCTGCGCCTCGTTCTCTAGAAGTGCTGAGGAGATAGGTGTAAAGTAGAATTTCTGGAATAATTTTTTTCCCAACCTCTGTTATATTAAATGAAGTTTTGCTCTTAGGTTCTTCTTTGTGCTCCAGGGTGGCCAGCACTTGAAGAACTGTACCTGACTTCTAATAACATTGCAGTTTTGGGAAGGTAAGACTTAGATCTGAGTCAGTCTTTAGTGGTGATGTACTGCAAAGCTGTACAGCAGATAACACCACATGTTTACATCACCTAACTAAAATAAACCGTGCAAACTCCCTGTGATGTACTTCAAAACATTTACGGATGTACACAAGCATTTGCATGCAGTTCTATACCGAGAAAAGCAGTGTTTTCAGTAACAAATAACATCAAGTGTTCTGTGTTTGCTCTTCTCCGTGTGCCAGGCCTGACCACGTCCTGCAGAGCCTGAAGCTGCTGGACCTGTCAGACAACCAGTTACTGGATGGCAACCAGCTGCACCCCATAGCACATCTGCCCAGGTACTCAGACACTGCCCGGGGTGTTCATCCCCATCGTCTGTGTCGGCTGCATGCACAGCACTGGTGTGCTGGGGAAGAGCCATGGAAACTTGAAGCAGAGCCATTTTGTCCTCTTGAGGAGAGGAAATCAATTACTTAACTGAGCTATTTTAATATAACCTTATTTTTGATGTATAGTAACACAGGGAAACGGCACCAAGCTGTGCCAAGGGAGGTTCAGGTTAGAGATAAGGAGGAAGTTCTTTACTGAGAGGGTCGTCAGAAGCTGGAACAGGCTGCCCAGGGAGGTGGTGGAGTCCCCATCCCTGGATGTGTTTAAAGAGCGGGTAGACGAGGTACTTAGGGATATGGTTTAGGGGGTAGACAGGAGCGGTTGGACGTGATGATCTCAGAGGGCTTTTCCAACCGAGCGATTCTGTGATTCAGTCTTAAGCTGTATGTTGTTAGGTTTTCATTATATACTTACGAAACCGAAGTGATTTATCACATTCCTAAGTTCCTTATGTACTAATATGGCCAGGGTTTCATCCAGGATGACAGGAGTGTAGGGTCCGTGTGGAGTGGCAAAGCGAAGGAGCTATGGGGGTTGTTTCTTGGGAGGTTCTCTGGCCATGGCTCGAGATACGGCCCCTTGCTCTTGAGGGTAAGTTTTTTAAAGAGGGTGCGTGTTAAAGCATTTCAACTCCAGCGACTGGAAACCTGTGGGGCTAAGGCAATAGTTTTGCTGATTCACAGAATTACTATCTTGTACACCAAAATAGCAGCAGTGACTTCAATTAGCCACAACCTGTTTTAAAAATAATGTGGAAAATCACACCATTTAAATGAAGGAAAGCTTGAAATTATTGCAGTTACCCTCTGAGAAATGCACTCCCTGAACACTGCTGATGCCTGGGTGCCCTGTGAGGCTGCTGTTCGTTTGTCAGTGATCACACATCACGTCAAGGTTCATCAGATCTCCGTTTACAAAAGTACTGAGGCAGTATTTCTTTACAGAAAACTTCCCCTGCCATGGACAGTAATTGCTGTGTCTTTAAATTTCAGATTAGAACAGCTCATACTCGGGAACACTGGAATATCTTCTATACAGTTTCCTGACGCTGGATTTGGTACGTACAAGCAGTCCTTTGTCTACAGCTTTGTACTTCTGCTTGTTTAAAGCTTCCACGATTGTCTTGTAAATTTACTCTTCTTCCTAGGGTGCAAGACTAAAATGTTTCCTTCACTAAAACACCTTGTAATAAATGACAATAAGATATCACAGGTAGGTTAGACTGTCATAGTTTCACATCTTGTAACTACGTCCGTCTTTGTTTAAGAGTAACTTGCTTTTTAAAAATCTGTACGTGTAAGATCCTGGGGTAACTACTGGGTGCTTTGATCAGCACTGAGGCGTAACTTAAAGATGTTGGCCATTCCTTGACATCTCAGTTAAACGTGTTTATGGCAGTCACAGCCCTCTGCTGCCTTGCAGAATTCTGATAGTCTAAAATGCTGGGTAGTTGCTCAAGTTTTTTGGGTTTGTTGGTGGTTTTGTGTTTACTTAATTAAATGTACTGCATTTTCTTTTCCTTAGCTAAGTGAACAGGATGGAAGTGCCTGGTTCTGCTGACCACAAGAGCAGTGTCAGTGACGGTCACTGCAGAAGTCACCGTTCCTGTGCGCTGCTCTGCAGTGAAGTGTGGTTTGTGGTCTGTGTTCCCTTTCGTTGCAGTGGTCGTCCATCAACGAGCTCGACAAGCTGCCGCGCCTGCGGTCCCTGCAGTGCCACAACAACCCTGTCATGGGCACGGAGAAGAACCCAGAGACGCTCAGGCAGCTCCTCATTGCCAAGATAAGTCAGCTGGAGGTGCTGAACAAGTCTGAGGTACGCGGTGTTTCCACAGACTGCACGAGTCTGTGGAAAAAGATTAAATCATTGCCTGAGGAAGTGTTTTAGTGTAAGATTAGTGTGTGTAAGTCTTAATTAGTGTAAGATTAGCATGTGTTTGTGTGCAGGAAACGTGAAGTGCTGAGTGCTGCATCGCCTGGGCAATGGGGCATCAGTGGGGCTACCAGCACCAGCCCTGTGTGTGTGTGCTGGTACCAGGAGGATGGGGATGAGCAGGAGGAAGGGCGCTTTGTCTCAAGCACCTGAGCTGTGCTGAAGTTGCAGAGTCATTACCAAAACCATTGACCGGCCAGGGGAAAGCAAAAGCAGCAGAGCTGGATCTGTTTCAGTGACAGCGATGCAAGCGTTTGCCTTCTGTCGTAGGAAGATAACGTTATCTACGCCAAATCAAACTTCCAGCAGATGTTTGCTGTAAAAGAGGGCAGAAGCAGCAGCTGTTCCATAGCTGCAAAAACACTCCCTGCATCATCATACACAGTAACATCTTTCTTAGATATTCAGTTATGCATCAGTCGGTACAAGGAGATAGGGTTTGTAAGGTTCTGAGCAGCTTTAAGATGTACTGAATATATGAGTCAGTACACGGAGATTGAGTTTGTAGGATTCTGAGCAGCTTTAAGATGTACTGAATATATGGATTGATCAGTACGAGGACAGGGTTTGAAGGATTCTGAGCAGCTTTAAGATGTACTGAATATAGGGACTGATCAGTACGAGGACATAGGGTTTGTAGGGTTCTGAGCAGCTTTAAGATGCACTGAATATAGGGATTGGTCAGTACTTGTAGATAGGGTTTGTAGGGTTCTGAACAGCTTTAAGATGTACTGAATATATGGACTGGTCAGTACTTGTAGATAGAGTTTGTAGGATTCTGAGCAGCTTTAAGATGCACTGAATATAGGGATTTGGTCAGTACGAGGACATAGGGTTTGTAAGGTTCTGAGCAGCTTTAAGATGCACTGAATATACAAACTGGTCAGTGCGAGGAGATGGGGTCTGTAGGGTTCTTGGTGCATTAAAGCGCGCTGAACAAGAGCAAGGAGTCAGTGTCATTAATTAGACGTTCTCCTCCAGAAAGCTGTATAATTACACTGTGTGCCATGGCTGTGTCAGTACAGATCCTCCCTGCTGAAAGAAAAGGAGCGGAGCTCGACTATCGCAAGATCTTTGGAAACGAGTGGTTGGCAGCTGGTGGGAACTGGGACCCGGAGCGGAACAAACCGAGCGAAGAGTTTCTCGCTGCCCATCCCAGATACCCAGCGCTTTGTCTCAGTAAGTGCAAGTACAGTAAAGTTATCACCTCCTCACCTCTGGCATCGTCGTTTGGGGTCTCCTCAGCTTCCCCTGTGCCTGACCCAACACCTTGGTGCCCTCAGGGCTGCTGCTGGGTTGATTTCGAAGGGTTCACGTCTGTGTGCGCTTTCCTCCTCGCAGAATACGGCGCGCCTGAAGAAGGAGAGCTGAAGGGACGGGAGCCTTCGACGCTGAAAAATCAGCTGCTGAGTAAGAAGCCAAAAATTGATCCCTCTGCCTTTAAAATACTGTGTGAGATCAGTGTTTGCTGGATGTGTGTGGAGAACAAAAGGTGCAAAGGCCTTTGAGATGCACAGAGATGCAGCTTGAAATTCTGCTGCTCCGAGCTGTGCGTACCAGGGAGTTTGGCTGGATACCTGCTTTGCCCCTCAACCCGAGCCAAGTAATTTTCTTAATTAAGACATAATGGAGAACAGAGGTAATCAGTGCTCCATTCTGACTGTGAATGGCTTCTCTACAGCCAACATCTGAGAGCTGACCCTCAATAGCTGCAGCTTTTTAACAGCAGCTTAACTTTAGGAGCGTCAAGGAAAACATGGCTAGCTTTGGGATGTGGGGCTGTCTTTGTATTTCAAGTAGGTGGCACCCCAGCCCTACACGTTCACTCAGCTTCATTCGTTCAGTTCATAGAACTGAGCCTTTTTCTTCACTCTGTGGGCAAAACGGTATTTTAGGGCATTACATTGTAATGCGCTTCGGTGGGAGACTGAGTAAGACAAGGAGTCAGCAGGACAGACATAACAGAAGCCTTTTTAAAGGATGTCTTCATCTCTGTGAAGGAATTAGGCTAATTACTTCCTGAAAATGTGCTTTTGAGATGGTGAGGGTCAAAAACCTGCTTTAAACTGAGTAAGCAGTTTCCATTCTGCTGCAGGTTGTAGAAGTGAAGCAATGGGAGTGTAATACCTCTTTTGACAAAAAAAACGTTAAGTATTAGGGAGTCACTTCTAAAGCATTGTCCTTAACTCACCAAAAATGAATAAAAGCTTGACTGTTTTAATACTGCTACTTCTAATTTTTCAGAGAATGACTAAATGCTGTCTTAGCTGCTCAGATACAGGCCACATCCTAGTTTTTTTTTGATCAGGCTGAGCCAGGGGAAACAACTTCTCATGAAAACAGACCAGAACAACTCCTGACAGAGCAGGGCTTGTTCACTCACTAATGCCTCGCTCTTCTTCCTTAAGCCCTGACCATTAAATGTCCTGAGAAACCTGAACAGAAGCCCGTAGAGAAGAAGCTCCCAGGTAAGCAGCCTTGGCCTTAGAAACCTCATCAGAAGCCCAATTCTGACCTGTACCAGGTTTGTCTCTCGAAGTTGTAGTGCCTGTAGTGAGACCGGGATGAACAGACGTCGCTCTGAATCAGACTGGAAAGATGTGTCAGAATGGAGCCTGAGAGAAAAGACTTACTCAAGCTTTATTCTAAAATAAAAATCACATTTATTATCACAAGTTGCATAAAATCAGATAGATACAGCCTTTACAAAAATGTTTTGATAGAAAAATATTTGTCTAAGTACAACGTGTGGTATTACGGGAATAACTCACTATTGCTGTGCCTTCAGATAAAGCTCCAAAAGAAGTGAAAGTTCAACCAAAACACTGAGTGTATCTATTGCAAACACAAGGTATCATCTCTGGCACAAACCGCGTTTACTCATTCGAGACCCATTCCACAAAATAGCCCGTTGTGTGACTGACTTCATAATGCAAACCACTCTGTAACTGGGACTAATTAACGTGATGCCACGTTAAGAGCAGCGCTGCTTCGTTTATTTGTGCTGGGAAAGCCAATTCCTGGTAGTGAAGCCCTCAGGGACGCAGCTGGAACCCGGCTGCTCTGTGTCCCGGAGGTCACTTATGGAACATGCTCGATACAGACTCAGGTAGATTATGAAGCCGTAACACTCGGATTTGGTCTGTGGGATCAAAGCGCCTCAACCGTGGCAGCATATCCCGTCCTGGGCACCAGAGACCAAACCATTTCACTTGGCTGTTAGCGGCGGTTTCGGGTACAAAGACGTTATTGCAGTGTTAGAACTGAAGCAGCGACACAGCCGCAACGCGCACGCTCTGCTCAGCTCGGGGTAGCAGCATTTTCTGACACCTTTTCTTTCTTTTCTCTCGGCAGAGTCTATGACCATTCAGAGGGTGAAGGGACTGCTGTATCGCCTGCTGAAAATCCCTGGTTCAGAGCTGAAACTGTCCTACGAAAGCTCCAAGGTGAGTTAAAAAAGGGTAGCTCGGCACTAAAACACTGCACGCTGCTACAGGGCAACGGCGCGTTCTGAAATCCCACCTACCGAAACAGATCCTGCTGGGGAGGGGCAGTCTTTGTGCTGTAATTTAGGATTCCTGTAGTATCAGTTTCCCCTGCCTGCACCTGCTTCTGTATTCTGCTGTATTTGGTTACACGAACAGATTTCAGGGAAGCCTGATGAGGTTTTTCTCCTTTCCCACTCCAGCTGGAAGGAAAAGAAGTTGAACTGGACAACGACTTAAAGCCCTTGCAGTTTTACTCCATAGAAAACGGCGACTGCGTGTTGGTGCGGTGGTGAGGGGGCTCAGAGGGCAGAGCCAGCACTGGAGCTGCGGACTGACAGACACCCAGACTCACAGACAGCCTGGGCCTGCACGCACCTCTGGGAGAGCAGGAACGTCGCGTGTGGCACAGAGGGCTCTGCAGCAGCTCCTTTAGCTCCCAAAGCCGTCAGTCTCCACCAAAGCATTGGCTTTTGGCTCAATTGTCTTACTTGAAAGATACCACGCAGTGCTTAATGCTTCAAATAAAGAAAACTCCAGGTACCTTTTGCCAAGGTTTTACACAACCCTCCCACGGCAGTGGTGAGAATCTGTTTCACTGGACTGACTGCATCGCTCGGTTGTGATCCTAACAGCACAAAACCAGTGCTGCACTCAGGCTACACCTGCCCTTCTCATCTGCTCCCAAAGCCCTTAAAGCAAACACACGTAAACCAGAGTTGTAGGAATATCTACACAGCCTTAAACTATTTAAAAACCTGACAGGTTTACCCTACAGCATTAACACACGGCACTGTAAATGAGTTCTCAGCACGCTGCAAGACCCTGCTGCTTATTCCACATTCTTTAGTGCCTCAGTCTTTACTTTTACCCCTGTACCCTCAGACACACTAACATCACCCCGAGCCAGCAGAGACCCCTCCTGATCAGACCAAGTTTGCAGCGCTTCAACATTTGGTACAAGCAAACTTTGCTATCGTTTTTAACCTAAAATGGCAATGGTATGAACAGACTGAACACAAATCCTCGAGCAGCCCTGGGACAGCACAGACCCTGCTGCAGCCTGGAGGTGCTGGGCACAGCTCTCCACTGCGCCCTGGCACAGCTCCACGCTGAGCTGAATCAGTAGTTTACAAAAGACAGGCTAGTTGGCATCCTTATGTGCATTTATTAATTACAAGTAGGTCTTTGACGTCATATAAAAAGGAGATTTTAAACGTTTTGGTTTTTGTCAGATCAACACCTATACTATAGAAAACGAGCGGCATCAGTCCACTTGTAATTATCAAAAGGGGTGTGCAAATATTGTTCTGCTTTAGCTGAAATCAGCATCAAAAGATACCTTCACGTTCCTTGCTGCCCCAAGACGTTCACTCGTTTCCATCACCTCTCCTCGCACCTGCAGGGATCTCCACACAGCTCCTTCAGCCTCCAGAGCGCGCTCAGCTCCTGCGGGGAGTACTGCGGGGAGGACAGCATCCCGCTGGCACACGTCTTCTCGCACAGCCACAGGCTGTCCTGCGGGGGAGAGCCCTGTCAGCAGCCTTGCTCACAGAAAATCACTCTTCAGCTGTCTTTACTTCATCATTTCTAGCAACAAACTGTGCGTGCAGAGTCACCAACAAGTGTTTTCTGGGTTTTAATCCCAATTTTTAAATCAAATTTCAATTAATTATTTTTTTTAAAGAAAAGCCACTTCCCCTATTTTATGCCGCTTGGAGCAACAGGCAAGTTCTGCCTCCGTAAGAGCAGGGAATTTCTTCAGACTTACTTGATACCGCTTGGGTCCTACGGCTGCCATCCAGATGCCCATGCTCACATCTTCACCCTGAGGTAACACAGTAAAATAAAACACAGGTATTAGCAGCAGGAAAGCATGACTTTGTGAGCTAAAATAAGCTGCAACATTTACCGGCAGTTAAAAATAGTCACTAAAAAAAACAATGCCTGGCTTTTTAGGAGTGCTAAGTGAATCCTCCCAGCTTTCCCATGGCAAGACAGCTGTCCATGGTAAGAAAGCTGTCCATGAAGGACAGGGAATTGTTTGGTAGAGGCCAGCAGGGCCACAGAGATGCTGGAGGGAGTGGAGCATCTCCTGCTGAGGAGCGGCTGAGGGAGCTGGGGCTCTTGAGCTTGGAGCAGAGGAGACTGAGGGGTGCCCTCATTCCTGGGGATCCATTGGGAAAGGGCAGTGTCAGGAGGAAGGAGCCAGGCTCTGCTCTGGGATGGCCAATGGCAGGACAAGGGGCAATGGTCCCAAGCTGGAGCACAGGAGGTTCCAGCTGAAGATGAGGCCAAAGTTTGTGAGTGTGAGGGTTCTGGAGCATGGCCCAGGCTGCCCAGAGAGGTTGTGGAGTCTCCTTGTGTGGAGACACCCAAAGCCCTGGCCGTGTTCCTGTGTGACTGCTCTGGTGATCCTGCTGTGGCAGGGGTTGCACTGGGGGAGCTTTCCAGGGCCCTTCCAGCTCCTGACTTCTATGATAATGTGAAGACATTGTTCTCAAGAGAAAGCCGTACAAAACCCAGGGTTACAACTCCTGAGGTTCTCAATCCAGTTGTGCTTTGACAGACACTGAGTGTAGGGACCAAAAGCACTGCAAAGCCCAGCACCACCAGGGGAACCCAGCACCAACACTTGTCACTGTCCTTTCCAGCTCGCCCGGTGCCCGTGGTGCTCCCCAAAAAAACCAAGGTGTTAATACCTGGTACGTCTTTAGCCGCCCCGAGTTGCTCGCCAGCCACTGAACGATATCTTTGGAGATGACGTAGCCGGACCCGCAGGCAAAGGCCGGGTATGCGGGACTGGGGTACTCCAGCTCCTGCCACTTCCCCGTTCGATCGACCGCCCAGTTTAGTCTGAAACTGAACACCCTTAGATGTGAGATGTCTGGAAAAAGCCCAGTGTGAAACCTCTGAACGCCGCTAACGACTGCAGTAAGGCTGATAATTAACAGTAATTAAGGATCCTAATGGTAGCACACACACCTAACTCAGCACAACAGCTCAAGGTGTGATCACTGCTTGGGCTACGGAAGAAAGTTCTCAGAACAAACTCAACACACAGGCCCAGAGAACGTGAGGCAGTCACACTCAACGGTGCCTCCAACACCGCAGGAAAAGGGCAGGTTCGTCTTACAAATTAAACCTGTCTTCATGGAAAACTGCGAGTATCTGAAGTTTCTTTTTGGCCTAATTAAAGTGAAGAAAGTCCTGCTTTGTAAAACTAGCTTCCACGGGCAGAAAAGGGGAGCCCACGTGAAAACAGACTCGAAGCAGTGACTTGTTCACTAAAAACGTGGTCTCAGAACCAAGTTAAAAACACAACTCACTTTCCCCACCAAATGTTTGGCCGGTCCAGCTTTTTCTGCGTTATCCTGTCAAAAACAGCCTCCAGATCGATGTAGCAGTCGTCATCCGTCTTCAGCAGCAAGTCGAAACTCGTCGATTCCACTGTCCTGTGCCCGACAAGAGAGGCAATGAGAGGCTGAGCTGCAGCCCACAGACACAGTTGGGCAACACCGCGCTCCTCGGGGGTTTTGGGAAGCGGAGGGGAAGAATTGGGATGAGGAGGGAAGCAATGGCCGTCCTGCCCTTGACTTCTCAGCGCTTTCCCGACTGACCAAGGCTGCGGGGAGGAGATGCAGCTGCTCCCTGCCATGATCTTACAGCAGGGATTTGTGCTCGAGCTGAAGAAAACACAGGTTTGTGTTCCAGGACAGATGGAGGATTTACTAAGGAATCCCTCCTAATCCGTGCTGACCTCGGGAGGATGCGGATCCCCACTGGTGCTGGCAGCACAGCTGTCGGGCTGGAAAACATCTGCACAAACAACTCGGTACTCACTGTCCTCAGCAAAGCACCCTTCAAACGGGAGAAACCTTGAACCGTCTGAAACAGCCGAGTGAGTCACTGGTAAAGTAACCAAAGGAACCTGAGATGCTAGGGGCTGTTCCTGAGTTGATTAACAAACACTGGTTTTAAGGGTTACTTCTCTGAACAAGAAAGGCATTTTCCTTAAGCCTTGTATGACTGAATCAGCTGCTGCGCCTGGAGAAGGCTCGGGGGACTCATCTGAGTACAGAGACCCTGAGGGGAAAGGGGTGCAGGGACACCCAAAAGAGAGGGGGCGCAGGGACACCCAAAAGAGAGGGGGCGCAGGGACACCCATAAGGGGTGGGCGCAGAGACACCCAAAAGGGAGAGGGCACAGGGACACCCAAAAGGGAGAGGACGCAGGGACACCCAAAAGGGAGAGGACGCAGGGACACCCAAAAGGGAGGGGGCGCAGGGCCACCCAAAAGGGAGGGGGCGCAGGGACACCCATATGGGAGAGGACGCAGAGACACCCATAAGGGAGGGGGTGCAGGGACACCCATAAGGGAGGGGGTGCAGGGACACCCATAAGGGAGAGAGCACAGGGACACCCAAAAGGGAGAGAGCACAGGGACACCCATAAGGGGTGGGTGCAGGGACACCCAAAAGGAGGGGGCGCAGGGACAGGACAGAAGTCAATGGCCACAAAGCGAAACGCCAGGTACACGAGCTGGCCAAAAGCCATCCTTTACAAGAGTGAAGCTGCCAATTTGCAGTCGGAACCAAATCAAAAGACATTACAAGATATGGACGTTGTCACGGCTCATGTTTATCTGAGGCACCAAGAAGTACAGATCCTGTTATTTCACTCGCTACACGACCCAAAATTGTGAAGGAGAAACAGAAGTGAGTGCAGTAAATCACGTAAGGTGCGTACTCAGTTGGACCTGTCAGACGACGCAACGCGCTGGGCCATCCTGCACCGCTCCCCAGACAAAACCCTTCCTTCCCACTCACCAGCGGTAGAAGTGCAGCAGCTTGGCCGGGACGTTCCTGTAAGTGTCAATAACGTCCACAAAGACGATATCGTCGTAGGCGCCGCTTTCCGCCTTCAACAGAGCGTCTTCTTTCTCGAGGTTCTTGATGTGGTCTGTAAACCTTTCCGGGCGAGTCTGAAGGCTTTTTAAAAGCGCCTCACCCTCTGAAAGGAGCAGCACCCACATTAAACATCGATGCACGCCCACGGACCATTTCACGTGTTTCTCTTGGGTCACACACAATATAGCGACAGAACTGACCTGGAGACGCGTTCGACTCTACGGGGTCATGAAAACCCTACAGTCAATTCAAAAATTGCTATGAAAACTTGCAGAACAAGAAAGAGATTCTTGCATAAGGTCTGATACATAAAGTTTAAAGTAAAAGTATAATTTCCCGTCTCAGTAATAAAAGGATTCGATTTTTCAAGTTTCTTGTATTAAAGAGCTGCCTGGGACTTCGCTATTGCTCTTACTGGTAGAGTAAAAAGGCTACTGCTGTATCAATTACTCCTAAGTGTGTGTATATCCATATCATCCGTATCCATCCGTATCCATCTATATCATCCATATCCATCCGTATCCATCTATATCATCCATATCCATCCGTATCCACCCATATCCATCCATATCATCTATATCCACCCATATCCACCTATATCCATCTACATCATCTACATCATCCATA